AATTAATTATCCTAAGAGTTAAAAATATAATTTTATTTAATATTAAACTAATAAAGCATAAAGTATTATTCTAAAATTTAAATGTTTATTATATTAAAATTTAATTATTCATAATTGTGTAAATAGATATTATTACAAAAAGAGTAAACATATCTATTCTATTTAAAGCTTCTTTCATAACTACTAAAATTTAGCTCAAGATTGTCATCTTTGATTGTTAGATTGGCAAAAGAAGTCCAAGAATAAAATTTTTTAAATGTAAGTTAAATAAAATAAAATAAAATAAAATTGAGTTGACTTTAGGGGATTGCTTATTTATATGAGTTTTAAATTCTAATTGAAAAATTAAATTTAATAAATAATAGCCTAGGCTCTAAAATTTACACTTCTGTCTGCTGATCTACTTATTGGATATGAGCAGAAGGCGAACCATGTGATTACAAATTCTTGAGGCTGATATCTGCTTAAGGGTAGTCTCCAACATACGGGTAGATATGTTACTACAGCGCAGGAAAAAGTATGATTTCTGAGACTACTAATAAGTATATCCGATAAGGTGGCTTATACACAAAGATATGTGATGATTAGAATAAACAAGGATATTAGGTTCTGGACCTTATTTTAAAATTAGCTTATTTAATTTGGATGCATGGAGCAGTTATGCTGTGATGACATTGTCAATCTGGTTTGGGCACCTAAGGATACTAAAAATTTGAAGAAAAATTTAGAACCCCCTCAAGCAATATCATACTCCATCATGACTAAAATTTATCATGAAAGTTCTCGAACTTGCTAAAAAAGATCTAAAAAATATTTACTCATCTAAAGTAAATATTGCTTGAGATAAAATAGTGATTTTATCAACATTATCAAATAACATACAAAATACTCATTTAATCTGATCCAAAAATTAAACAAATATAAGAATAAAATACAAAATAATGATTAGAGCGAGTTTAATAAGCTATTTTGAGTTGATAAAAGTAAAGTGCTTAAATTAGAATATTCAAATATGTAAATAAGATTTTAAATAAACAAATCTTGATAAAAATTCTATTAAAGTCTTAAATTAGTTTTAAATTATGTAGAGTTGGTTTATAAATTTTGATGAGATTATAAAGTAGTTTGTATGTTTTCCCCGCCTGCTCAGGGAAAAAATTTAAAGATAAAAAATTTTTATATATTCCATATTTTAATACTCCTATAAATTTTCTTGATCAATTACAAAAGAAATACATGAAATTTTTTTCTATAGACCTTAATACAAAAGTGAGATTCAATGCTTATCAAATTAGCTAGAAAATTAAAATTATGTCAATAAAAAAAAGTTTGGATGGTTGTCCGTGTCTGTATTTTCTACAGGCCTAGTCCTCCAAAGTTGGTGAATTTTTTAAGGTAAAATAATTTTCTCTTACTATTTAATTTCTATCTTCTTCTTTTCTTAATAAAACATAGTTGTATTTAAAAATTTTGTAGAAATAAATACTGAATCTATTGTTGAACTCAATATATCGTTGACGAATTGAAAAATAAAGTTGAAGAATGTCAAAAGGGTTTAATAAGATTTCGATGTAGGCAATTATAATGTAGGGTAAATATTCCATACACTAAAATTACAAAGATTTTTATTAAAGGAAAAGAGGTGTACATTTAACTAAAATGTAATGAAAACTTTGGAAAATATGTACTTACTGGTCTTAAGTAGAGAAGATCAAGAGCTACTTAAAAGACATAATTAAAAAAATAGAAATTTTTTGCATATATAATTTTAATTTCGTTGATAGAAATCAAATTCACTTTTACTATAAGTCTTCTAAAAAGCAACTTCCTTTTTGTTTAAATATGGTCTTTAAATCGATACCTGATTGATTTGAAAATTCTCCTTTCAGAATTAATGCTCCTTTAATTTAGAATATTGCCATTTTGGATATAAGAAGTGAATTTTGGTATCTGGAGACTATAAATATTTAAAATATAAATATTACTTTCTGAAAAATGACTATTTTATTGGAGCTAAATTTTAAATTATTTAATAATATCTTTGTATTTTTTATCGGACGATTTGATTTCTTATCCATTCTTGACTTCCCATAGATGGATAGATTTATCATAATTACCAGAAGCTAATCTTTAACCATCAGGAGAGAAACAGACTGATTAGACCCAACTAGTACCACTATCTAATCTGACTTTTTATTATCCTGTTTTGACATCCCATAGACGGATAGACTTATCATTACTACTAGAAGCTAATGTATTTCCATC